TCTTCCTGCTGGGTTATGGCCATGCCAGTTCAATCACCATTTGCCTTTCAAATCTTTTTTTTTTTTTAATTATTTCCTCAGTTCCCCATTAGCTCTGAAGGAAACACAGGCCATATTTGTTAACTTCTCTCCAACAGGCAGGAGAAAGGGCACACAGGAAGCAAGGAATTGCAGTTACGCTGTTTTCACGGATAAATCATGTGGATAAACCATGCACCAAACAAATCAGCAGTGTTTTTTGGGAGGGATAGATTGTTATTCCTAATAATTCCTGTGCTCAAAGACCTCGGTAGAATCTCATACTTGTCCACATTTCTGCCTAAAGCCACATAACTTCATGGCATATTAAATGCACAGTCTTTCTGCACAGTCCAAACTAGCGCTGGCTACGCACCTTCAAAGCAGCCATTTCAGCAGGCCCTGCATGAACCTCTTCTAATGACTAATAAACCCGCTAGAGAAAAAAGCTGCGGGCTGTTGAATCTTATAGAATCTTACAGGACACTCATATAAAATGAACACYACAATTTGAAAAATCCAGGGGACTCTGGTAGGGCTTTTTTTGTATATGGGTACAGATTAACTCAGGACATTTGGGAATTACTTGGCAAGGCGGCAAAGGGGAATGTCCTTTCCTCTGAACTGCAGACTCCCTTTTGTAGTGTCCCATTTTTTTGTTTGTTTGAATTTTATGTCTTTGGTTAGGCTTGCTCATATGGCAAGAATTATTTGATATTTTACTAAGAACCTGGGTGGAAATTTTATACTTAAAATACCTTGACACACCCTAAAAAACAGCTGATAAGAATCTCAGCTGTTGTAAAGTGATTTCACTACATTAATGGCCTCATACTATAAGGTTATTGAAGAACTGAGGATAAGATTACTTGAAAAAATGGCTTGGCGGATGCTGCTGATCTACTTTCGGCAAACATTTGATGATGTAATTAAATAATATGGGCTTGTTTAGTGAGTTTAATCGCATTCTTGTTGAGTATTCTCCTCTACTATTCTACATGATATGGAAAGGAGAAACCAAAACATTAGGTTGTGAATGGCACAGATTTCACAAAGTGGGTGAATACAGAGCGGGCTTAACCAAAAAGTCCCCATTTTCTAACTTGATTTATAACTAAAATCAGGCAATGCAGAGGGAAAAATCAAGAGCATAAATTTCAGTAAAAGGATTTTTCAAAGACTTGAAATGTAGGAAGAAATAAAATGTGATAATGTCATAGAAGAGAAGAAAGCAAGATAGAAATGGGAAGTGTTGGAAGTGCTCCAGAATAAATTASCATGTGTCAAACGGTCATGACTGCCCTATCACCCTTAAACATATAAGGGCTGGAAAAGGCTAGCAAGGATGCAAAGAAAAATAAAATGCTTGTAGCAACAGTAGATACGAAAGAGATGCAACAAAAGCAGATGTAAAAGAACATGATTRGTAAAGGGAAGCTGGGAAAAGAACCAGGAAACAAAGACAGAAAACCCTACATGAGTAGCAGCAGAATTGCTCAAGTTCTGTCCCATACTGAAGCCACAACTTGGCTTTGGGACCACTGCTAGCTCGTATGTGGCCAGCTCAGAGATGGATCCTGCATCAGACCTCATAGACATGTCTTAAGATCTAACCGTGATATACAAGGGAAGAAATCCTAATCCTTTGGAGAAAGACGTGCATTTAGTCGGGCATAAAACAACTCTGAAGCCAGTGACAGCAGGTGGGTGACCTTCAAACTSCAGTCCAGTGAGGCCCCGGACATGGTTCAGGTAGGCCTGAAAGGGATGTAGCCTCACACTTCCACTGGGACAAAAATCTTTGGCCAGCCAGAGAGAAGAAAAGAGAGTGAAAAAAGAGTGAAAAAGGGTGAGAAAAACTGGTCCCTGCAGCTATTTACTGCCACATCCTAGGTGGACACATCCATGTTCCTTCTCAGTCATCCCGCTGTGGCTGCAGAGCTCAAGCTGTTCGGGGCAGAGTCTGCCTCCTACCTTACGTATCTTCTTAAAAACGCATTCACTGTCATTATATTTTCAGTCACCTGAAGTTACACACTGACCTGACTGGTATCATAACACAACCCATGAGRCTGTAATTGGGATCTGAATCCACTGTTCGATCCTTACATCCTCTTGATACCCTCTCCAGGTATTAAGGCTAGCTCTGGGCAACCCTCCTCTCGGACTCATGTGGTAGAGCTTGGCATTCTCCACAGGAGATCCAGCTGCCTACCAGAAACCCTGGAAAGCTAAGCTTTCTTGCTTAAAAATCTATCTGGACAGAAAACTGAAAGGGTCTGGATGATATCTTGCTCCAGGCTATGTGAGGAAAAAAAAAAAAAACAGCTAATCACAGCCTTTAGCAACAAAGCAAATCTAGGGCCCAACTATAGCTTCTCACTGCTCTTAGATCCACTGGGATGCTACAAACCATCACCAGGAGGARACAATAACAGACTTTTTTTATATAGATTTATTTTTACACCTTTCCTGTTCCCTGATCAGACTAAGATATTGACTCGGTGGTRCAAGGAAGCCTGTGGGGACATGCAGCAGAACAAACTTGGTTTGCTTTCCAGCTGAGCCGTGATGGCAACTCTGAGTATTTATCTTCCCTGGAAATGTTCTTGCCACTCAGTATTAGTAAAACCTGTATGTCAGAGGTCTGTGGCGTCTCAAAACTAATATCTATGGAAGGAGACAAAGCAAAAGAAGGTGGAAAAGAATCATAACCAAGTGGCAGATGAGAGATTTATCAGAGGAGGTGCCAAATATGTTGATATATTCTCATGAGTGATACGTAAGTAGAAAAGGAGGAATAGGATACTCGTGAGAAAGCAGAGGGGAGAAAGAGCAGAAGCGAAGCAGGGGGAGAAACAGAGAGTGTCTTAGATGGCAAGGAGGAGACTCTCCATAAGGAACTAGTGGAATTGCGAGTCCCTGTGACGAGTGGGACCGTCACCTCCCTCACACTAAGCGCAGTGCGGCCACTTCCAACGCCCGCCAGAGCTACAGAAAGCCAAAACCCCYRGGCCAAGCCCCTATATAACACAGGRGTTATGTAGGGCATAACAAGCTCCAGTTCCTCTCATTAAGTGGAAGCAAATGAGTGCCAGGAAACCACACGTTTCCATCCAGCGTCCTCGTGATGCTGTTGCAGCCTGAGCAGCACGTTCAGGGTGTCACTCACAGGGACAACCACCTCCCCAAGAAAACATACAAACGTCACGTCAGTGTAACCAGAACAAGCCTCATGTCTTCATTTCTTCCTCTCCCCAGGARCAATGACTTTCTTGAGCAGGAATGGGGAGAAGGGCATGCCAGGAAACGTGCCCCACATCACTCATCATTTCTTAGGATAAACTATCCAGCGGTGCTGGGGTATTTTATTCTGAACTCTACTGTAGATGCTGCTGCCAACAAAACCAAACAAATGACAAGCCTGAGACCTGTGCATCAGCAAAAAGCAATTTGTAAACTTCCTGCCTTAGTTTCCCCCTTTAAACATCCCAGATTCGGCAGACTTGGGTTTGATCACTTTTGCAATAGTTACAGGGGGAGGTGCTGTTTTCACAAATAGTTTCTGGTTTTGACATACCCCAGGGGAAATATTTCCACAGAGCTCAACATTGGGAATGCAGGTGCTCCAGGCTCTGCCATGACCAGGCAACCCACCTAATAGGCCTCAAAAGCAGGGAAAAATAAAATATATGATCATCTCTAATGGTGGCCCACAAAAATGTTCTGTATCATTTATCTCTCGGTGCTGTTTCAGATCTAAGACAAATCATTGCCCCAAATACCAAATACCTTCCCGGATAAGAAAATAATAAACTTTACCAGAGAGCATCATACTTTTCTTTCCTCTTGAAAACCACGCAAATGTTACTGGATAGACATATAAGTGTTCCTGTTGCCCTTCTTTTCCAGAACAACAACAGAGAAATTAAATAATTCACAAAGGCACCTAAAAAGTCAAGACTGAAATAAGAAAAAGAACTAAAGAGGCCTTGGTAACTGTTGCACTACATCTGTGAAGGAAAAAAATAAAATAAATTAAAAAATAAATTAAAAAATAAACCAAAAAAAACCCCACAAACTTTACTTTAAAATCTGCTTAAGGAAGGAAATACTTTAAGTTAGGATTTTGCATCTTCCCTTATATACATGAATAAATGTGAGTCAGTGGATTTTGTTTCTACCTACATTTTACTGTGAACTTGGATTTTCTACTCAAATGACAGTGTTCTAAGTTCAATGGAAAGTATTTTCGTCCTTCAGAGCAATTACTTCATTTAAACTAGTGCTTCACTTAACCAAAGTGCAGTTTTTCTTCCAGAGGGCAACTTCATTTGGCGACATAACTGATTTCCTGAAGTTTTTTTTTTTTAATTTCATATTTAAAAATATGGTATAGCATATGTTTTCATAAATAAAAAATTACAAGCGTCTTTGATTCATTTGTAATGAACTTCTAAAATTTTCCTTTTTAAAAACATATTAGGAAAACTTTTTTTTATTTATTCGTTCAATTTAATTTCAGTCTCACATTTAAGTACCTGCCATAACTCTCAAAACATTAAAAATAATATAACCCAAATATTACGTAACACATTTGCGTATTTAGGGCCAAATATTTTAGTTAACTATTGAAAAAGCATTTGATATTTTAATGACAAGACTCTCTTGGAATGAAACCTGGGTGTAAAGGGCCAACTCACTGCAATTTCCAATTCATCAATGAATATTTAATTATAGCATAAGTAGCAGCTTCCAGTGACTTTTTCTTAGCAAGATACCAACACCTGCAGAGGAGAAAAATGAATGGAAGCATTGCCACAGTCTTAACAGTCATGAGAAAGAGAAGGCAAAGCCGCGAGCGCCTCTGATTACCCAAATGCAGTGTCGGATCTCGAGGAGTACGGACTTGATCTCAAGTCAAGACTCAAGAGCTGCTGCCTAGCTATGCGCTGCTGTTCCCACCAACAGAAGTCACCCACCTGGGGTWGCATGCGATTTTCCTCCTCCAGCTGTCTTACTCTGGCCTCCAGCTGCCTAACATAGGACAAGGTTGATTCTAAAATCAAAAAGAAAAAAAAAAAAAAACTCGCATTATCCACACAGATCTGCTTGTGTCTACTGGTGTCAGAGCCTGCGCCACATGCTGACTCGTATTCACAGCAGACTTTGCTTGAAATTCCCTTAAACATGCAGCTCTGCTCCCCTCAAGGGCACTGCGAACAATGCAGAGAGGTGAGTTAAGCCACCTCTTTGTCACTTGTGATTCTGAACTACTTCACTTTAATATTTAAAACTCCTCCTCCTCACACAGCCAGGGCAGGACCTGCTGGCAAATCCTCTCCTAATGCTGCTTCCTGGAGCATAATCCTGCCCACCACACTCAGGAGTAACATCACTGGCCTTCATAATTTGATCGATTATGGAAAATAAGATTTTCTAGGGATGTGACCACTGGAAGAGTCTACCTCTGAATGTCKCAGTTACTGGTTGGGAAAAGGAGTCACCCTCTGTTCTGTGCTCAAGAATTTAGTGGAAGCAGTGCTGAAAGCACCCAAGAGGTTTCCTACTGTGCATATTGGGGGGAACACAGACYCCTGCCATTAAAATACTGTGTCTAGAAAAAAATACATTGCTGAGAAAGTAGTTGGTCACTGTGAGAGAAAAGATGACTTCTCAGTAGAGAATCATTGCCATGACTCCAGTATCTCCTTAYACTAAAGTAAGGCCCCCACCAGGTACTTACACTTGACTCAATGATCTGGTAAACTTTTTTTCAGAAGTGCTTTTGAGAAGAATTTCATGAATTTGTATGTACTCACACTACACTGTGCACTGTGTAACAAGCATACAAGTAGAAACAGCCACATCACTGCAGTCTAACGGGCGTCAGGGCTGGACAATCAGTTGACAGAAACCTGCAAAGCTGCATCGACACCGCAGAAGTTCCCTGATTTCAGAGGAATTTGTGTACCCAGCTCCTCCGATATCCAAATCGCTGTGCCAGCCGGCCCATCAAGTGGAAGGGAGGGRACACGAGGCGTCACGGATGGCTCCGGCGAGGCTGCCGTGCGCTCGAATACGCACGCACAGACACCGCGCGGGAATCTGTGCAACACGGGGACAGCAGACAGGAATTTGTCAAAACCCATGAGGGCCCAGCAAGGCACTGGATTAAAAATAGCACGGCACAAGCGGAGGGAAGGAGGTAACCTGAGGCTGTGCGTGCTCTGCAGCCCGACGATTTCGTAGCCAGCGAGGGGTGTACCTCTGGAGAGCTGCTGAGCCCGGCTCTAGGAGCACTTAGGAAATGAACAGCTTAAGCAATTAGCTACCTACGACGGGGTCCCTCCCATCAAATCAGCTCCTTTCCCAGCAGCAGCTCTTCTGGGAGGAGCCGGAGACGCTTCCGCACTATTACAGCACTATTAATGTTGGCAACACGGCTCTCTTCTCCTCTGTGCCATGTTCCGGAGAGGATGTTTTCTTGCAGAGCCATCTTTCCCCGGGACCTGAGGCAGGGGCTTGCTTTGGCATGCGCCCTCTCTGCACGTGCTGGATGTGATCCTGTGCTGGGGCCAGCTTGGGCACCACGCTGACCTTCAGAGTCAGCGGCCGCCCCTCCCCGTCATTTATTGTTTTTGTCATTTTCTGTGTTGCCACTTACTAGTTCCGTACACGCTGCACAGCTCATGGCAAAGTTTGCCTCTCGGTTTTATTCCTTCATATATATTAGAGTCTAGCTGAGACGTCTGCTGCCTCACAAAACACAGCTCAGCTGCCAGTTCACAATCCCAGTTTATACTGGCTCAGGATCTGGTCTAAAGCTTCCTAGTGTTTTAACCCTTTCTAAATGTAAAATATTTATTTAAATTTCCTTTTGTAATCTGATTAAAGCTGAAAATTAGGTCAGCTACCAAAGGCACAATCTGGAAAATCCTTATTTATGTATTCTTGACGCACTGGCTAGATGAATATATATTTCAGTACCTATTAATGTATTTATACTGTGATGCTCTGCATGAGCTTAGAGGAAAAGACAAGTAAAAGAGGCAGTCAAGGATGTAAGAGAAAGAGGAACTGAAAATACACACAGGGAAACACTGTCCCTGGAAATGTTCACAGCAAACCACCCCCCAAAAGCTGCATCTTAAAASTAGTTATGGAAGGGACTATAAAATYCATCTATTCTTAACTAGCCTGCAGACCASCAAAGAGGCGAAAATAAGGAGTAGATCTTAAACTGCCTGCCAGAAAAAGGTCACCTGATGTCGCTCCCGTTGCTATTCCAGGCACATTTTCACATGAAAATTAAGATTAAGTAAATTTAAACTGAGTCAGAATGAACTGAGGATCATAATGCTTAATTTTCAACAAGAATATGTGTCCGAGCTGAAAACAAACGTCTCCCAATGTCAAGGAGCACGGAAGCACAATATCTGTTTAGAACATCACTGTTTTCTGAAATTAAAGCATTTTATAAGATGCTACAATATATCAGGCAATCGTTGCTCTGAAAAACAACCTGCACAAACAATATTTTAGGTGATGTCATCAGTCATAAAATCTGTTTTATCCTTCCTAAGTAGGTTTATTTAATATTTATAACTTTCACAGAACTGCAAGCACACAGCAAAGCCCTGCAGTACTTGCCAAACCTTAATTTCAGGAGCAGGCAGCGAGCATACAAACTTCCAAATGCAGCTCCACAACCAGCTCCCTCTGTCTAAAATACGAATAGTAAAAAATGGTATTTATATTAACACTCTAAAATGCTAGTATTGCATTCTAAGTAACAGCACAAAACTGCTAGCTGTGTTAAACTGTGTTAAAAACTGCTAACTGCATTCTCAGATAAAAACAGACAATTAATTTGAGTCCACATCTCAGCTAGATCTGAACACGGAGACATGACACCATGGAAGTCAAATTACCATTTCCATCAGCCACAGGCTTCATAGTTGCATTTTCTGTGGTTCTCCCAGTCTTCCTTCACTAAGAAAAAGTTTTACTTGAAATAACAATTTTGAACCATTTCCATCCTTACAACCAGATTTACAGAATACATGAATGCTCCTATGTTAATGCTGCTGAATTATATTCCTTTCTATAAATAGAGAGGGAAAAATACTCCCATTTTCATATTCTTCCCCAAATATTTCTTTATACTTCACTCCTTGGGGACACATGCACATTGCTAAAGCCATTCACTCTTAAGCCAAGGGGTTCACAGTGGCTTCCATTCACACAAAATAACCCATGCTCAGGGTTATTTTGCCCCTGTGGCCAMGATTTCTGCATCTGGAATAATAAGAAGAGCACTTTCCAACTTACCAGAAYGGTGTTTTTAAGCAGGAAGCAGGGCAGGTATGCAGGACATGACACGAGAGGGTGGGAGGGGTACCAAACATGCTGGGCAAGTGTTACAGGATTGTGCAGGATTGTGCAGATTGAAGGCAGCTAAACCTGAYGTGGTCTTTCAGCAGGGCCAGCAAAGAGCAGCTCCCAGAGTAAAATATCCCCAGATTTAGTCTCACAGACAACTAATCGGTTCACTTAGAAAAATAGCTTATGAAAAAGCAACTTACCTGAAGTACACAAATTCCAAAGAGCGAGAGCACACCAAAGTTATATGACTATTTAATTTACTATTAGTGTGTTCTGAGTCCTATTTCAGTGCAGATAATGCTCAAATTCATTTGATCTTTTCCAATGGAAAAAGAAAACAGAAAAAAATGCTATTTCACCAAATGAACTTCTGTAGTTTAGCTTCCTGTGTTCTTAAGGATGACTGCAAATATGATCCTTGTGCAGTGCTTCATTTCAAGATGGAAACTAAAATTCTTTTTCAAATTACTATGGAGAAAGTAATATCTTGCTTTTAGCAACATTCAATGACAGTCTGCTCTTCTCCATATCCATCATTCTAACATGTTATTAGAAAACATCAATATTTATGTGGCCGATCCCTTTTTCTTTTGACATCCATACTCTTGAAGCTAGTAGGTATTTGGGCTTATGTCAAACTTTATCAGACCTGTATGTTGCTGCAGAGGGAATATTTGTGCCTTGGCTTTRTCCATTTTTGTGTGTCTCTACATGATCTCACTCTATTACAAATACTTCATAATGTTAAGTTAGATTATCCTCTGCTACTTTAAAATGGTTGAGAAAGTCACATTAAATTCTAGTGTCTAAAGACAGGTTGCTTTTTCCCCCCCTCCTTTTTTCCCCCTTTTTCCACCTTTTAAGGCTAGTATTAAGAAAACATTGGTCCACCTGGTCCAGCAATAAGCGAAGCCAAAAAAAATCCTTTCCTGTTCCACATGATGCTTAGACCCGAGGACATGCACAGAGACAAACGCAGCATCCCTCAGTAAATGGCATCGGATGGATGGGGAGCACAAAGCCTTGCAGTGCCCTGGCACTGAGGTGCTGAGGGATGTAGAGATAAGAGAAATAGGAGCTATCAACGCTGAGCGGGCTGTCTTACCCCCTTAAATAAAGTAGTGCTGTCTAAGCAGCCCCACAGTTTTCAAATCTTAAAAGGTAGCTCAAAAACACAACAGTCACTGTTGGGGCAGGTACCATCATCTCTACCACCACGAAACTGAAGCCGAGAATAAGAAACAGGATGTTTTGGGCACCACTTTGCTCTTACAGCCTTAACAAACCACTAAGGACCATGTTGCAGGGCTGGGGAGTTCAAAGCAGCAGGTTCTGGCAGTTTATAGGGCAGCTGATCATTTTTCTGTGATTTACATGAAATTGCGTACATTGGATAATAAAAGAGCCAACTTCTGCTTCTCTCGTCTCTATTACAATAGAAATATTACATTAGAAAAAAAACCCTAAATTATTAACAAAATTAAAAACATACTGAAATAACCAAAAAATACTTGTAAGCCTGCAGGCTTCAGTCTACAGCATTCCCCATGCCCYCTTCTGGGCTGCAAAAGCTGCAGCATATTCCCCTCATAGCTCCCCTGCAGAGCTTGACAAACAGATTAGTCACAGTTCTCTGCAAAAGAAAAAAAAAATAGTAATAATGACCACTAG